GATGGTGCAGGTGATACAGTGGATGACTTAGGAAGAGGTGGTGGTGGTGGTGCAGGTGGCACACTGGATAAGCCAGGAAGAGGTGGTGGTGGTGGTGCAGGTGGCACACTGGATGACTTAGGAAGAGGTGGTGGTGGTGGTGCAGGTGGCACACTGGATAAGCCAGGAAGAGGTGGTGGTGATGCACTAGATGTGCTTGTCAACAGCGGCAGCGAGCCTCTATTGGTGACTTTCACATACTGTTCCATCTGTTGCTTTTCTGGGGTGCTGTTATTCTTTAATAGAGAAGCCCTTGGACTTGTGTTCCACAGTTCCTGTAATTGTAGTTTATTGTCATTAACCGTCAGCAAGCCGCTCGTTGAATGAGTGGTGGGTACTTTTGAATCCTCTTTCGCAAACTCGTTGAGCGTTTGAAAGGCCCTTGATTGAAGTTTATGAGAAGACGAGGCAATTGTAGGCAACACTGTGTCTTTTTTTGCAGTAGAATCATTATAACCACACGCGGAGGGCGGAGACTTTTGAGAGAACATCTGCACGCAAAGATCTAATGTGCTCGGTGAGAAGCAGCCCGCCAAATCAGCAACGATTCCCGTCGTTCTCTCCTTCTCTGCTTGGTCAACTTTATCCTGCACCTCTCCCGGCGATGGGACTTGGACTTGCAATGAGGTAGTATTTTTTGACCGTGGCAGTGAATTCTCACAGTGTAGAGATTCAGATCCCGCGACATCCTTCGTTATCACAGGTGGCAGCAAGGAAACATCCTTGGAGTATGATTTTTCATAAGTCTTCTTCTGAAATAAGGGATAGAGGGTACCACTACCGGAATTGTGGGAAAGGGTCGTTTCCATCGAATATAAACGAGGAGATACAATATCTTTAGATTTTGTTAACGATACATCCGATTCTATCACAGCAGGAATCATGAGTTTCTTCCCTATTGGAAGGGACTTCAAATAAGATTCATGTTTGTTGAATAAAATACTCTCAGATACAGATGAAATGGAATTCTCATCAGGGCCACTTTTCGCCTCAAGAATATGTGGTAACGCTTTTGTTGAAGAATCCTCTCCCAGTTTTTTCCTTTCGAAAGTTGAATACGATGCCGAAGCCCTTTGATTCGAATGCCCACCCTCTGTGTGGCCTGAAACCTTTGTAAAGATATCCTCAATGCTTTCCTGATTAGTCTGCATGCAATGTGAATTCAAGTGTTTATATGTACTGTCTATGTTTCTTTCAGAGAACAAAAAACTTTCAATGTCGTGTATGTTGCATTCTTTATACTCTTTCGCCAATATCTCAAAATTATTAGCATTCATTAAGTTGTCGTTTTCCTTAATACCTGTGGCGGGTTCAACAAGATGCTCAGCCTCCCTTTCGGGTAATTTTTCCGAAGAAAAGGGGTCGGTAGAATGACCACTGCTGACAGCTGACGAAGCATTCTTCAGTCGTATAGAAGCCAGTTGAGCATTACCTTTTGTCGCGTTCAGCGCACAGATAGTCTCTTCCTTCCATTGAAAATCTAAATTCAGAAACTCCATCAGCCTTTTCACAGTATCTATGGAACCGTACTCGAGGAACACCTTTGAGGTGTCATCGCCTCCAACATCACCTTCTCTTTCAAAGACCGCATTAATATGGCTAAAATCCCCTTCAACCGCAGCAGCTGCCTCGTGCAAGCAAGACTCCTGTATGTTGTACTTTTCATTCAACTCTGTATATCTTTTCAAAATGCTCTCATCAAGAGGGTCGAACTCAGGAAGAGATGTCTGCCTATCTTGACAACTGGTATGGTCCTCAAAGGAGTGTTCTTTTTGTAAACAAGAGAGCCACATGTTCAGCGTAGACTCTTCAGTTTGCAACAAGTGAGAATCTCCGTTTGGAGTAGAGGACACTACATTCTTGCTTTCAGGTGGGAAAGCTGACCTATCTTGAGTGTTGTCCTGGGATATTAATATATTTAAATTGGAGCGCGTGTTTTGCCCCACTCTTGGGGGCAAACCACTCATCGAAGGATGCCTTACGATATAAATATTAAAGGAAAGGAAAGAATTAATTTAATAATGAAAAAATGTAATTCTATTTCTCCTATGAATATGATCTGAGTCTATTTTCTTAAAAGTAAGATCTGTTTATCTAAAAGCGGAAACTCGAAGAATGAGAAAGTTAATCGCCAATAAATATACTTTCTTAACTATATTAATGCTGATATCCGTCTTCTATTTTTCGATACCCTAAACGTAGTGGTAATTTTTAAAAACAAAAATATTATCTGATGAAACTTTACAGATGAAAACTATATCGCCAATACAATAGAAACATAGAATTATAGTTGTTCTAAAGTCCTCAAAAGAAAAAATGGAAAGGAACGTTGGGTTATAGAGTACTTATAAATACACTACTATAGAAATGAAAATCATATCACCCATTTAATAGAGACTAGCCGAGTTGAAGTTTTGAAAGACGTAAAATGGCGATTGATGGTATTGGTATCCCTCTTTACAGTGCTTTTACGCTCTGAAGATGATAAAAAAAGACTTAGTAAACAATATTATAGCAAAATTGTATTTTAAAGGTCATCCGTCAAGAAGAAGATATCATGAAATAAAAGTCGTTTTCCCTGCATTTTCCTAAGACATACTTTATCATCGACTTTGGCCAATATGTACTGGCCAAAGAAAATGATCCCATACCAAAATTTGCATTCAAATGAATCGTCGCCGCTCGGAAGGGGCGGCAAAATGAGGGATATGTCGTGAATAAGGCATAGGTTAAAAACATCTCAAAATAAAATGAAAATAATGTGGAGGAATAGCTACTCGCACACTTTAAAGGACATAAATATATGTGTCGTCTATTTCTCTCTTACTCTTCCTCTTCTTATCAGTAGGGTTCAAGTCCGCTATTATTATATTGACCTTGTCTGGTAATCATATTTTCAGAACGTTACTTCCTTAAGGTCAAACTCCAAGACGAAAATAGAAGCACCTCATACTGAAAGACTGAATGAATGCTCTCAGAAGCCATAAAACACCATTTTGCTATGTATGCCAACATCTTTTCGTTTGTCTGGAAATATATATGGTAAAAATAGAAAGGAAAGAATGAATTGGAAAATAGAGTCCATTTCAGATTACATTAAATTGCAATGGTTTACTTATATCCCTTAACATTTTCTTCATTCTGACCCCGGAAACGAGCGAAGGGGGAATTCGCACATCCCTTATACAGGTGAATTTATCTTATGATTAACTTCAGTCTGCTCGATCAACAAAAAACGACACAGAAAAGGTGTTAAATAAAAATATAAAAGTTTGTATACTTAAATGAATTACTGAGGCCACTTTTAGTTACTCTCTCCCCACTACCATCCTATCTATTTTTTTATTTAAGATTGCTGCAAGGCAATAATCAATGTTATCGTGGGTTGTTTTTCATTATATTGATCACATCCCATCTTTTCTAAAGTCTACTCTGCATCATCAAACAACACCACCGTCTCTGCCTTCACGTTGTAGTACGACATGCTCGTGCATCGGGCAACAAGATCAATTGCATCCAAGTCCCCTTCGGCCTCCAGCAGAGTGAGAGGAAAGAATAACTTACCGCGCAGCTCGAATATCCTAGGATCGAAGTTTCCAGTCGGCGCTTGCGAAAAGGAAAGACTAGAACTCACGGCATGCGCGGAAGCGGTAAGACTCGATACGCGCAGTGCGAGCAAATGCTCCTCACGAGACGAACCCACCCCATCAGGCGCTGAATCCGAACTTTGCTTTCGCCTGGCGGAGCAGGAAAGCCACCACCGCTGCGCCATCGCGGAAGACGAAAAAGAGTTCCCCCCTTCCTTCGTGTGGTCGTCGTTGACGTCCGTTGGGTGGTTTTGATCGTCCGCACCGCGGTTATCAATTGACGGAGATGGACCGGAGCTCGAGGCGCCCTCCTCCAACCACCAAACAAACGCGCAAACCTCTACTACCGCCGCGAGGCCAAGGCCTGGCACTTCCTCCACCCCTCCCCGCGCGCTAAACGACTCGATCCGCGCGATTTCATGGGCCTCAGCCACCATCGCGAGGGCGAGCGCGGCATGCTTTTCATCCCCCGCCGCCGGGGTAAAATCCGAAGACGAGCCCAGGAGCTTCATCTGGAGCTCCACGAGGGAAGCCCCCCCTATCTTATCCCGATCCTTTGACGAGGAAGTGGGGGTGGGGGATAATAAAGCCCCGAGCCCAACGCGCTGGACCGTTGGGAGCTGCCATAACGCCTCCTCACCCGCCCAGACCCTCCGCTGGAGGCATTGATGAAGCAGCATCAACGAGGCCACGTGTCCGGCATGCCGGCGCCCATCCAACAGCTCCACAAATCCCGCCAAAACCCGTAAAACGGAAGGTAAAACCACATAAAGGTCCTCCTCCAGGCGAGCGGCGATAAGGGGGTCGATCTGGCGAAGCAAAAGGAGGTCCTCCGCGGTCGCGGCGGCCAGAGCGCCGCCAAAGGGATGAGCGACAAGATCCTCCACCTCGCCAGAGCGCCGCGCAGGGTGAGCGAAAAATCGAGCGCAGTGCACCAAACTCAGCAAAAACACCTTGATGGAGGGGCTGGTGAAGTCGAGGTCGATATAGCGTATGTGGAAATGGGTGGGAATGGCGCGGGCAAGGGTGTGGAGAGCGCGAAGCTCAGCGGCCTCGGTGATCCTCACCGCATCCCCGAGCCGCGCGACGCTGACCTCCTCACAATGCTCGATTATCGTCTTCAAAAGATCCGCCAGCGTTAGGGCCGAGCGCGATTTTCCCCCGTCCGACCCTTCCAAGCCCTCCAACACCGCTTGCATGGAATGGATGGTAATACAATGGTGGGCGAACGCGATCCCTCGTGGGGTGGGGTGCAGAACCGCCGCCGCAGAGGTGGAATCGTCCGCGGCGTGAAGCTCCTCGACCCTCACGCAGCCCTGCTCCTGTAGCCCTTGCACAATGCGATCCGCCAGATCCGAAGCGAAAAGCGGAAGATCCTCGACGGAGGGGACGGAGTAGAAATGCGGATTAGACTTGAGGTGGTAGAGAAAATAATGGCTTTGTAGGACGCGCAGGACGTCCGCATGGCTCCTCACCCGACCCTGGGCGACCGCCGCGTTGACGGCATCGCTGAAATCGCCCGGGTAGCGCAAACTCGATTCGAGCGGAAGCGGGCCGTTGAGTAAATGCGCCCAAACCCATCGCCGAGAAGTGCGGCCGAAAACGATGGCGCTGTTGGATGCGCGGGAAGTCATCTGAAGCAGCTCCGACACGCTAAGATCGGCGTAGTCGATGATTGAAAGTCCGCTGCCGTCTTCGGCAGCGTCATCCGACTGCGTAATCACCCTTTCCGCGCTGCACACGATGGCATTCGAAAAGCCCGCGGCGGGCAGACGCCAGGCCGCATCGAAGGTGCATACCAAAATCAGCGGCAAATACTGCTGCGTATCCGGATGCCTCGCCGACCCCTGATCCACCTGCTCGAGAATCGTGAGAAGATCGAGCGTAGTGGTGCCCCGGTGAAGATACGCGACGCCGGCCGCCAACAACCTCCCCAGGCGTGAATCCCCCACCCCGTCCACCCCATCGCGGGCGATGAAATCGCGGCATCGCAAAAGTACCCGCCGCGCGACCGCCTCGGCGTGGTGGGCGTGCGGGACGAATACCACGCAAGGCGCGCCGACGTAGGGCATGCGCTGGAGAACTTTCAACGCGGCGACCACCCCGGCCTCGTACCGCGCGCGCGCGCTGCCCTGCTCCAGCCCCTCCATCTCCACGCGAAGCTGGCGGTAGCTCCTCCCGAAGTTAAACTGCTGCGCGGTGGGTACCCGCAGCCATCGCCCTACCTCCAGGCTGCTAATAAGTGAATACGAAAGCGCGAGCAGCCGCGCTCGACGAATGCCGTGGTGGACGAGAAAAGGTCCGGATTGAAGCCGCGCAAGGCATTCCTCGCTAAAACGACCTTCCGCGGCGCGCAGAAGGTGCAGGTGGTCGGCGATGAGGTGCACGACGCCGGAAAGCCACGCCGCACCGGCGCGGACGTGGGAAATGAGGCCGGCGCCAGTCGCGATGACGATCGACGCCTTTTCGATTTCCGTCGACGTTGCGAAGTCGTTTCCGTCAACCCGTTCGTCGTCAAGCAAAACCACCCGCTGCTGGAGCAGCTCCCCGAATTTATAGCGCCAGTCCATATAATGGCGTACGGCTGTATCTTTATGAGTGGTGATATACAGCACCTTCCGCTGCACTCGTGAGGATCGCGCAAACCCGTTGGCCGGATCCGGCACGGTGGCTTGTCCATCATCAGTTCCACTATTAGGTTTTAGTGTGGAATCCTCCTCAGGATGTAAGGCACCATCGAGAAGAAAGCTGAGGATGAAAAGCTCCGCTATCACCGTTTTGCCCCCACCAGGGGGCATGCCAGCAAAGATGTTATCCTGATCATTATCAAAAATCGACCCGACCATATCCCGCTGGCTCGAATAGAACGTCGTGAAGGGAAAAATTTGATCCCCGACATCCCCTAGTTTGTAGGGCTCCAACACGTTCCGGACGTCCAACTCGTTAGCGTCGTCAACAGAAGGTGGCTGATTTCCGACTTCCCGCAAGGCGGGCGCCACGGCAGGGAGCTGCATATTTAACAAACACACTGCCACCATCGCCTCAGACCCAAGCCACTGCGGGCAGATGGAGTGCACAAACAAATAAGTCGGCCGAGGTTCCACCATCGGCACCACAATTGGCGGCACCGCATACACCTCATTATTGCGGTGGTAAACAAGCGGCAGACGAAGCGGCTCGTGATGCAGAACCCGGCCATTCGTGTGTTCAATCGTCAAAAGCAAATCGCTAACACTTTGACCATGTAAGGCCTCATTGTACACATAATCAGGTGTGAAGTCGACATCGACGTAGAGCATGCTGCGCGTGAGGGGCCGCACCGCGACCTCCATCGTGAAGTGAGGGACCTGGGCGATGCAGGTATGCACCATCGCCGCGCGCCGTTCATCCCCTAGCTTATCCACAAGGTCCTCCAGGGACCACCGCCGAAGCTCCTCCCATGGAACTCTAAAACGTTCTAGGATGGGCAGAAGCGTCTCCATACTCTTTACACCAGATCCGCTGCAGGCTATCTGACGCGCCGGCGACTCCACATGCCATTGCTGATGAAGTACCATCCCGTAAAGCTGAAGAAACTGACGTGCGGTTCGACCAAACTCACGCACCAACGAGATTTCATACAACGCCCGAAGAATACGCTGTGCGGAATCCCGCACGTAGACCATCTCACTCATGAGCGGCAAGCCGTCAAGCGTCTTTCGGCTGATATAACACTGCAGCAGGGCGTTGATTTTGGCGTATGGACTATAGCGTGATTCTCGCACCGCGATGGGGACGCTTTCCAGGAGCTCTTTGAGCTGCGCCTGCTCCTCCGCGCGCACCGTCAAGCCTGCGAATTCGCTAGAAAGTGAAAAGACACGAAATAGATCGGTATCCTGCATGGCATTGCTCAGGTTCGACAGGTACGCATTCATAGACGCGGTTGTAACGTAGCAGTGAGAGGCGATGCGGCCGTAAGACGTGGAACCCACCTTTCGGGTTGTTTTATCATAATCCACCATATGCGCCACCTTGAGCTCCTCACATGCGGTGTGGATGATGTTTTCAAGATGAAGGGTAAGCAACGGATCGCTGGGATTAGGTCGAACACTGTAGAGTTCGGGTGCATTAAGCATCCGCACATACAAATAGCTCCGCTGAAGCCACCGCACCCCCTCCTTGGTGTTCTCCACATGACCTAACGCGATCTCAGCGTTTAGCATATCCACCACACGCTTCATCATCTGCGACTCCACAGGAAGCTGTTGGTTAATCAAGCCCAGATAATACGAGAGATCCTCCGGTGAGGTGATGATGGTGGCATGGCCTACAGTCGCCCCAAATCCCACGCGCCCCGCTCGGCCAAACATCTGCAAGACGTCCAACGCACTCAGCCGCTCCGACTCGCCCTTGGACGCGTTGAAGACGCGGGTGCCCTTGATGATCACGCGGTTGGCGGGTAAGTTCACCCCCCACGCCAAAGTGGAGGTGCAAACCAATACCTTGATATGTCGTTCCGCGAAAAGCTCCTCCGTGACCTGGCGCTCATCGCGGCTGAGACCGGCATGGTGGATCGCAAAGCCATGGGGCAGAAGTTGCCGAATGCTTTGCCGTAGGACGTGGTAGGTGGCATCGGCCGCCTCCTTGAGCGCCAGTTCGGCCGCACTTCCCGGGCGATGAAAAAAGTGTTGGTGCCGCTCCTCTTGGGCGTGCTGCTTGAGGTACATCGCGGTGTGCTCGGTCTCCCGACGAGAGTGCACAAAGATCATCACCTGCTCGTTCTCCTGCGCCGCCTGCAAGACCTTGTCGTAAACAATGCGATTCATCACAATGGCGTGGTTCGTGCCCCGCAGCCGCCTCGTCGCGCAAAAGGATTGCTGAAGTGGGATGGGTCGATAGCTGCTGTCGAAGTTAAACAGCCCGCGCTGACGATCTACCTGCAGGAAGGCCGCAACGTCGTGGTAATTGGGCAGCGTCGCGCTGAGCCCGACGAGCCTGATCCCCGCAGACCCGCGCAGCTGCTGTTGTAAAATTGTACGCGCGACGATCGCCTCGAGGACGGGGCCGCGCTCATTATGCAAAAGGTGCACCTCGTCCAGGATGATCAACTTGAGTAGCGAGGCGACGCCGAGGTCGACGGATTTCCGCGTGACGATATCCCACTTCTCAGGGGTGGACACGATGAGCTGGACCTCGGCCATCTGCCGCTGCGTCATCGCGGCATCGCCGGAGAGCTCCGCGACGGTGATCCCGAGCGGGCCCAGCCGCTCCGAGAAGGTCCGCACGACCTCCTGCACCAGCGCTTTCATCGGGGCCACATAAACCATTTTAAGCTCACGCAGACCGACCCGCCCGTCCCCCTCCACCCCGTGCAGGCATCGCTGAATCAGGCGGAGCATCGCCATCATCGCTACGTTCGTCTTACCCGCGCCAGTCGGGGCGCAAATAAGCATATTTTCATCCGAGTGAAAGGCGCACTCAAAAACGCGAGACTGCATTGGGTTGAGATGAGGGACCCCGCGGAAGGCGTCATGGCACCATGTGGGGAAGGCGGACAGGGGGACCAAAGTCTCCTCGGCCTCCCCTCGGCGGTTGTGAGAGGCAGTCGGAGGGAGAACGAGCTCATCATGAGTCTCGTACACAATTCGTTGGGTCCCATGTGGAACCGTAATCCGCGTATGGCGATGGGGCGTGTGTTCGTCGCTGAAGGAGGCCGCCTGCAGGTCAACTTTTCGAAGAGGTGGCTGCCGACGCGCCGCTGCGGATCCACCAATCCCATCCCCTGCTTCTCCATCGCCGCCAAGCTCCCCGCCGTCAGTCCGGGAGAGTTTGTGGCCACGAACAAAATCAACCTCCTTACCAGTGATGCTTTCGTACAGATGCTCGACGGCCGGGTCTTGCAGGGCGTGCTCAGACATGTCCTCCATGACTGCCTCCTTCTTTTTCTGATTTCCACATGCCGCGTAGCGCAACCCATACACAATGCACCACCGTGAGCTGCGCAGATCACCAATCCAGCTCTGCACCATGTCGTCGTCGTAGCCACCCAAAAAAGCAGTTAACCGGGTTTCCAGCTCGTAATCATCTACAGACTTCTCGGAAAGGTACGCCACGACACGATTGGCCTGAGCCTCACATTCTTCCAGATCTTGAGCCGGGAAGAGTCGTCGCAGAGTATTCTTGACGTACTGCGGGTTGCATGCAACCTCATCAAAGGAGATTTTCGGTGTTTCGAAACCCCCAACCTCCCCCTCCACGCTCTCCTCCTCGTGGATGGGGTCGAACGGGAAAGCACCGCCATTATCCTCTTCACCAGGAGCCGTCTCATTAAAAGCAAACTGTGATAGAGTTTTATCCGCTTTAAGAGCCTTCTTCTTAGCCTTTTGTTCCTGGCGGCGGCGCCGTGGCATCCCCGTAAGCAATGCTATCTCATCCTCTTCGGAGTCGTCCTCATCGGTAGAGCTTGTGGGACCCTCGGCGTCGAAGACCAGGTTGTCAGTTACGCCCCCGATCCCACCACCTTTCCCTACGCCGTTCTCTGCCTCCTCGTTCGCGATACCGCCAGGCGCCGTCGCGTCGGCCGCGACGTAATCCGTGATGAGCCTTCCAAAACGTAGAAAGGCGTCAAAGGTCCCACGGCGGATGGGCCCGCCCAGCAATCGCTCGAGGCTTTCCTGCTGATGGTGGGTATCGGCGGCAGCGCTAGGGCCCCCGCCTCCCCCACGCACGCAAATGATAGCCAGCACCTCCTCGGCGATTTCCTCGAGGTCGTCGTAAACCCCAGGTGGGAGGCAACGGCGGATTTCAAGGAGGAGCTGCTCGTAGTGCTCCTTGGTGACGTCGGAGTGAGGAACGTAGTGAGACACAAAGGACATGAGTTGAGGCCTGTTGCACCGACTGTATGGGGGTTATTTTGTTTATAAAAGGTTAAAATGGGTGGGGAGAGAAATGGATAGGCTTCTTAAAGCCCTTTTAGCGTAGGTTGGGAGAAGGATGGATAGAAAGAGAGGGAGGGGGGGAGGGGAGGATGACCCTCTACTAGGAGGAAATTTTTATTAATCTGCACGTTATCGATCTTTTTTTCTTCTCTGACGTTGGTTAAACGTAACAACTCAATACTAAATGAATTTTCCTACCGTGTGTCGTAAACTCAAGGCATGTAAATAAGGAAGAAAGATAATAGACAGAAAGAGGATCTTAATACAACTTGTGCAAATCTTAGATTATGTAATCATGTCATGGAAATGACTAAAGTTCCCCAGAGGCAGGGTTTGGTGGTTCATTAAACACTTTATAGAACTCTCTAGGGCAATACACACCACATGATCGCTTATTTTTTTAAAAACGTTATAGATATAAATAATCGAATATATATATATAATGTGTAATTTTCTGTATAATGACTTTCAAATTCACATGTTTTATCAAAATGAACTTATAATATGCTTTACAGTAAAAATATACATTCTTATAGGGATTAATATGGGATAATATAGATAGAATACTGACTTTGTTTGCTTAATATTATCCGCATTGATGCAGCACCAGAAACTAACTATATATGTAGAGTAGTCAGGCGAATATCAATGATTGAAAAAAAGAGGCAAACAACAATAAAGATTGAGTAACTGCATAATTTTTTAAAAGGAAGTAGTTATAAGGGCATGTGACTGTGTCTTTGCCACCAACTCTTCATTTTGTACCAGTAAAATGCGTTATAGTTATTGATCACCAGGATTCTGTCTAAAGAAAGAGCACCTGCTGTAGATCCTTCACTACTTTGAGAACCCCTATAAATAAAATAGTTGATATTGTGCAGTACAGAAGAAGACTCCGCCAGTTAAAGTACCATAAACTATAAAATAAGACGAAATGATAAAATATGACAGCCCCAACGCGCACCCACCAAAACTTAAAATTAGGTTGCCGAATCTCATTAAGCATGAGGGAAAATAGACTGCACAATGGTGTAGTGTTTGCGTGATAATATTCATCATAATCATAACTTTCAACCGCGCAGTGCTCCCCATACACCTTTCGTATATCTACGGCATTGTATTGAACAGGGTTATTGTGATAGAAGAGGGCTAAAACCTTCTCCTTCTCTGCAAAGCGGCCGTGGATCCATTCACCAAATTTGCGATCCTCAATGGGTACCAACAGGCCATTATCATTAGCATTATTATCGCTTGGCTTTGCAGTCGGAGGTTGAAAAGCGTGGTTGCGAATTAGAAGGTGGACCTTGCGGGAATGAGATCCATTCACCAAGGAAGGCTCGTTCGGGCGCTTGTGGGGTGCGCTGTAGGTATACGCAATTGTGCAGTCCACTATTTCCTCGATGTTTTCCGAACCGATCATATTTTTAATCCCGATTAACCCTGTCGTGCGGGGATTTAACACATGATTAAAAGTTGGCATCCCATTATCTCTAGCAAACGCCTGAGACTTTTGGATGTTGCTCCGCGAGAGATCAGTTCCTTCAGGGAAAATAACCAGTATATAGGACTCATTTGTTGCCTTGTAGTAGTTTATCATCTTCTGGAGATACACCTTATCAGATTCCCACGATCGAGAGAGAAAAATAAAGCCAAACGCGTTCATGCTCCAACCTAGGACAGGAATATGTCTAATATCATTCTTCAAGACAAAGCGAAGCGTCAAAAAAACTCGGCTGCGGATTAGAAAAATCGCAAAGTAAAGCCAATCAACACGACTGTGGTGGTTTAGCAAAATAATTTTCACCTTCCCTGGCTTTGATGGAGGCGAGAAAACCTTGGCAAGGTCTGGTTGCGTCTTCATTCCTTTACCTTGATTATACATTGTCAAGTAAGTCGATTTCATATGCTTTTCCCCAAAGTCATCCACAACAGTGTATGCGAAGCGAATCCCTAGTACAACCTCAAGTAGAAAGGTCAGAGTCATAAACCAGAAACACTTTATTGAATTACTGAACTGGTTAAAAACTATAAATAGTGGTCTCATGGCCCTATTACTGATAAAGTGTCTTAGCGCAATCAGTAAAAGGTTTGGCCATAAAAATATAATATTAAACAGAATAGAACTGGGTAGGTAAATGGCAATGACCAATAAAATGCCACGAAAAAAATTGAACATCTTTCCACTTGGTTTCACAAAAAGATAGATATGGCTATGAACGCCTCGTTGGAAGAGTCAAATGTGGCAGACTGGAAAAGATCTTTGTGTTTATCGGTGTCAGTTGTTGGTCCGTGTTTGTGATATAATTCACTTGCCATATAGATCTCTCGTCTTGAAATGAACAAAGAAAATGCTTGAATTCAGGGAGAGAAAACATAGAAGAAAGGAAAGGAATCAAATAAAAACAAAATAATTTCACTAAAAGAACACATTACATGCAAATACATATCAATAGTATCCCCATTTCCTTTTAGGCTCTTTGAAAAGTATACTAAAATAAAAAACTATTATTGAATAGCTCTACTACTGAACATCGATTTATAGATACAAATAAAAACAGCACCTGTAATACAGAATAGTGCTTACATAAAGGGACATAGCTGAAGCCTAAACGCGCTTCATACTTTGAAAAAGCAACGTAAATATTAGAGGGTAATAACTCCCTTGAATTCCTCTTATATTATTTGCCACTTGGTCGACTTCGCACAACCTTCTCTATAGCATGTTCTTCATTAAGAGTGAAACCACAGCGTCTGACGTCAATATAAGTTAAAGATGTGTTGTCGTAAATTGATTTTAACAATTTTGATCCGGTAACACTGATCTTCATGCACCGTACGGAAGGAGCGGCTACCTCAGTATTTTCATCTTTATTTTGTTGCGTATTGTTCTCTTTCCCGTCAGGATCTTTGTCGGATAACGATAGAACAGATACGAAGCCATCATCCATATTCTCGGTTTCTAACACATGCTCCTCATCTTCATGATCTTCCTTGACCTCCTCATTTTCCGATTCACAAGGTTCCTGGGCACTGTTAGCTTTATCCATAGGGGGCATATTTGCATCGGGATGCGAGCTGCCACTTGTGAGCAGAGTCTCAATTCCAATGAGATCTTCAATATTCTTTTCTGAATATCCTCCCCCCAACCGGTAATTTCCGGCAATATTCAACCATCGCAAGGTCTGCAGCTGTGGAAGCACTTCGATCAGCGCCGTAGCGGTCGATACCCCGAGGACGTTATATCCCAAATGCAGTTCCTGCAATAAGGACGCATTGACAAGCGTGCGCACAAAGAGATCCCCAGCGTTTTCATCAGGGATTCGATTCTGATCAAGGTACAAAATGCGCAGCGATTTGTTCACCTCCAAGGCCTCTGCTAGGGCTCGAGCCCCCTCCCCGGTGATGTTATTATCCCCTAAATACAACGCCTCTAGGGGAAAATCAGGCTGGGAGAGCAACACTGCAAGCGCGTTGATTATACTGCTATCCCCAATCGCGTTGTGCGACAAATCAAGCACGCGGAGACTTTTATTGTTTACCAGACCCGCACAGATCGCCATCGTATGCGCGTCTTGAAGACGTGTACTAGGCAATCGCAGCTTTTCTAGACGATGAACTGTTAAGAGTTTGCGAATATTTTCCGCGTCGTCACGAGTAAAACCCATCATGGAAGACGTATAATCGGTTCCTATGTTGCTCACACCATAGGACAGACGAAAAGTTCGAACGTTTGGAAGCATAGAAAAAAGCTGACTGTACCAATTAAGATGTGTAAACTGGCAAGGGAGCTCAACTGTGTGGACATAATCACGACACAACACACATAAATCTGCCAGGACTTGAAGGTCATCTTCAGAAGCCCACACTATGTCCCCACCATTTAAATCATTCCCTTCTGATGGAAACGTTGTTTGAGAGAAGGGAACACGTTTTGCGCTTTTGCCTCGCATATATAACAAAAAGTCGCTCAGATAGTGCTCAAGATAAAGCCCTTTCCATCCATAGATCTTGTTTAGCAATTGCTCATTGTTGCCTAGAAATGCTGAAAGCTGTCCGGATGACCATCTTGACATACAGCAACGCTTCCAATAGGACTCATCCGACACACGTTCCACACATACCCGTAGCAGCGGGCTAGTATGTGACCCATTCAAAGGTTCCGTCAAACAACTTAAAATCATGTTATAGAGGTGGGGTTCCTTGTTTTGTAGAGTATCGATTTCTGGCATCTTGGAAAAATCTCGGGCTAGTTGTTCAGAACAAATTGTTTGGAGTGTTGGAACAAAATACGATTGAACCGCATCTTCTTTTGCAACTTCTAACTTAGAGATTATGTCTTCTCTCACGTAGTCTTGCACACGCACAATATGAAAGTTACTAGTTGTAGGTTGAACATATGTGGCTCGTTTCTGGCGCGTCGTAGAACCTATCACGGAACCTAACATGGCTCTATGTGAAGCTACTATCGTTAGATAGTGCTTCTATATAATGTTATAGTTGTATTTGTTTATATATATATATATATTGAGAATATAATATTTGTCAAGACCTTAAATCCCTTCTTTTAGTGTCACAGAGACAAATATATAAAGTAAGGGAAAAACATGTCAATTAAGCGCTACATCCACACTAGTGAATAGTTTAATAAAAGAATAGACAATGAACTGTAACAAAAATGATAATTTGAGTCTAAAATAGAAACTAGAACATAAAACATTATACATCGGAGCAACATAAGTATGCTAATTCTGATACAACGGATGGTAAGAATAGTGAAAACATAAGGTTAGAAAACTTTATTACTTTATAATAGACGTCCTAACCCCACTCCCAATAGTACTAATATGACACCCAATGTACCAATTACCGGGTATCTCGAGAGCAAGGATTTCCTTTCCTTGATGTTTTTGAAGTGTATATGATCCGGAGAAACGGCTTTGAACATGTCTTTAAGATGGTTTTTCATTTCTTGGTTGAGAATGGGGAAGACCAACGCGCTTAGAGTGTCGTACTCTAGTAGAGAAGAGGCGGGTATATTTGTTACTTTGAAAATAACATCTTTTGCATCGCAATTAGTACGGAAAACTCGCTCATCCTGATTGAGCTGACCTAATGCACAGATCTCAGCCCATGTGAAATGCCAACAAAAAGGTAAAGAAGGAGTAATAGGCCTTACATCTAGAACTGTACCTAATTGAGATGGCATAGTAGCACCAATGTTTGAGAATGGCAGAAACTCGTCATATTTGAAAGTAGCCGTTATGACAGTACTTGCTGGTGTGTCATCCACACCGTTATTAATGGAAAGAAATATTTTGATAAACATTTGAACAATTTGGTCCATTTTATTTACATTGTCATTCTCAATCTTTATGATCCTATCTCTACTGGAAGACAACAGTAAAGAGATATTAACAGGGGTGCCAATATGCTCAACTGCAATCAATTTTGATTTAATAAAGAACCCTCTAAAAGGCTGACTTCCATGTAACCGAGAAGGGTTGACCAAAAGAATATTGTCATGAATATCACATTGAATATTCGGTGTAAAGTTATTGTAGAAACTCTTTGATATCGTTCCGAGATAAGGTGTGCTGTTGCTCTCAAATTCATAGTTGAACCAGAGAACTTCACAAAACTGTTTCTTGGTCAGGATGGAAAGATCGATGATAGTGTCCGTGTACACTTGTGCGATGTTGACAACTCCATCCTCAACGGTTCTAGTGGTTTGAAAATGATCCCTGAATGAAGCAAGCTGTTTCCATAAATCGATGTTGTCATCCACATTAGCGACGGAAGGGGGAGTGAAAGGCAAACCATTAAAAAAGCATACATATTTCTGATCTGTTGGTGAATTGACATCCCGTGCTTGGTGTGGTGAATCGAATAAAAGCTCACACATGTGTTTAAATACAATATCTAAGCTATCGTTTCTTTTCCGCCATCCCAAAAATACTTCCCTAATATCCCCATGAGCCTTTAATGATGAACTTACATCGGGACTCCAGTGTGAAAACTCTGATGCATTAAGTCTTGATACCCATGAAACTTCTCCCAAATCCTCCTGAAATTCTTCGGCCCTTCCATGCGCACGCATCCGTGATGTGGGGAAGGTACATTCAGAATCAACATCAGCTTCCATCCTTTGGTGTGAATAGGTTATGAAATCATTATTCCGAAGAGAATCAAGCTCAGCTTTAGCCACAGTAGCATAAAGTGACTTGAAGCGGTTACTTTCCTCTACCTCTTTCAGAACATGTTGGGCTACATCATCTTGAAACTGTCGTGCTAATCTTCCATAGTGCTTGATAAGTTCCTGTATGCTTTGGGCCTCATCAGCTATTCGATTGGCAGATGCTTTGATATCGAACTCTGAATCTTCGCTTTGGGTAATAGACATTAATATCGATATCTATAAAATATTGATTCGAAACGATGATTAGAAACAAGAATTGTATGAAATGACTAAATGAAACTAAGTGCTATCGTGTTATAAGCAACAACAAACGTAAGGAGAAGTTACTAAGTCATGAACTAAGACATGTCACACATGACTCATAACAAAAATCTTGAGAACATTTCAAGTCTTAAGAATGTAATATTGATGAATTTGAATATAGGAAAATAATAGTGATAACAAATTTTGAAGATGTATTATTCTAGCTAAATGAGAAGTAAGAACATAGATTCACTTTAACACAACATTGCTGTTCCTTATGCAAAAGCAACATATTTGTAAATAGCAATCTGTATGTCTACTAGTGATCCAAAGCTAGTTATGTCCTAGTTGGACACAGTGTATCATGGACTTTTTTGTATTAGTATGAGCGACATCTGAAGCTTTTCCAAATCTAGCGCGCATAGGAACTTTTGTACAACCTCTAGACGTATAAAATTTTCAAGGCAATGCATTCCTTACCACCTTCACGTGATTTAAGTAGCTCTTAATCTCTAGAGTGTTATGCAGGATGTAATAGGAATTGAAATTGCACCAAGTCAAATCATCCATTGCCAGGTGACATACCCGTTACACCCATTTCTATAATAGAACAATACATGCGCAGTATACATATCCTGGAAATGATTATGCAAGTCGTAAATTACATAAGTCATCCAGTCCAAAAGACAATAAGCAAAACACATCCTTACATCAAAACAATTCATGCGAACCCTCGGATTAGTACCTATAGAATGCTGTTTCACCCAAGTTGAGCTTACATGAAACCTATAATAGAACTCTAGTGGATATGTAACAACCGGCTTCTAGATGTCTACACCGTCGAAAGTGCAGATAAGCACTTGTGTTGTGACGACAGCGCGCAAAGTGGAAAGTGATCACTCGACTGGGGTGAAGGAGAACCAAAAACAAATTGCGTGGCCTTGCGACTGCTCCAAGACGTTTTATAAGGGAAGGATTAGCTATACAAGGCACAATTGACACGAAGGAGGTGACGATCCCTTGGAGATCATTGAAAGGAACCTAGACGCAAATCAAGGGGAAGGGAGAGGATCGAAGCCGCTACAACCAAATGCAGTATGGAGCTATTGCAAGAAACGTAAAAAAAAGGTTGATTTAAACCTGCTGCGGCGCAAGTCGATAACGCAAAACCCTACTTGGTAGTGGAACAAAAATCGCCAGAGGCAGGTCTCACTAATTACCCCCCCACCCCCCCC